ATTGAAGGGATTTGCATGTTTGATTGAATTTTTGTGGGGGACTTACCGATGATTCCGACGATCGTCCGGGCAGTGTGGGCGTCCGTCATTTTTCTTTATTTCTCGGAGAATTTTCTTGTCTTTCAACAGATTTTCTCAAAGATCTAAATAGAGTTTTTAGAAAAAGGAAAGGAGAAAGAAAAAATATATAAGGATTTTTTCGATTCTTCTTTTGTTGATGATTGTTGTTTATATATATTTTCTTCAGTGTCTTGGTTTTTTTGTTTGTGATTTGTTATAAGTTTTGTTTGTTTGATAAAAGAACAATCTTTTTTTTCTTTTGTGTATGTGTGTGGTTTTCTGGGTTCAGTTTTTGTTGTTGTTTTTTTTTTTTTTTTGGTATTTTGATTATTTTTGGTTTCTGTTTTATCAACAAAAAGAAAAATTGGATTTTAATAGTGAGTCTCTGAATCAGCAGAATCTGGGTAGAGTAACAAATGCGTGACACGTGGTCAAACTTTGAAACATTAAGCCGTTGACTCCGCTCGTACCCCATGCATGAGAAACATCCGGCTCTTCACTCACATTACTTTTTTTTTTGTATTTAAAATAAGTATCTCACCATACTAAATACTAGATTTTAATAAGTATCTCATATGTGACCAAAAAAAAAAAAAAGGTATCTCACCATACTAAATAGATTTTAATAAAATTAATTGAACAAATCTACAAATAATTTTAGAAATGGTCCAACAAAAACAAATCGAACAATGCAATCAACATGTGATCTAGACATGGGCCAAAAGTATATTTGCATACGGTCTAAACTTTTTCACTTAAAATCCATATTCTATATATTAAAAAAATTGTTATTAAATTATGGCCCAAATATAAATTGATTAGAGGGTCCATGAAAAAATTGAACCCTTGTATAACCTCATTACTCTTCCTTACCACTAGGGTTTCACAAAACAAAATAGACGTGATGAAGAGAGGAAGCGAAAAGAACCACCACAAGACCTCCTCACCACTGCCTACCCAAGTCTTCGCTGCGGTGAAATCTCCACCGGAGAAAAGTCCGGCGACATCAATATCCCTTTCGATTTAACGGTGGAGATACTAAAGAAACTCCCGACAAAATCTATCTTGAGGTTCCAATGCGTCTCGAAACAATGGTCATGGATTATCGGATCATATAGATACTTCATAGACTCGATCGTGAATCGGTCGCCACATGATACCAAATTCATCTTCGCCCACTACTATGAAGATAATCCGACACCTGATTTCTTCATCTTCTCGTCTACTTACCATCAAAATACGGACAAAGAATCAGTATCAACAAGAGCCAATTCGTATCTATACGTCCGAGGCTTGATTTGTTGTAGGTCAAACTTTTCTAATACGTTAGCCATATATAACCCTACCACGAGACAGTACTTTCCCTAACCGAATACGCACCGGTACATAGACAATGATTGCTTATTTGGATACGAACCTCTCAAAAACCAATACAAAGTAATATACCTACCAAAATACAATATGGAGGAGGCTTGTCAAGTTTTCACATTGGGAGATCCCAATGCGAAGCAGTGGAGAAACATTCAAGGCATTGGACTTCATCATCCACGTTTACATGCCGTTTGCATCAAGGGGGTTATCTATTACCTAGCAATTAAAGAATTTGGGGATAGTAACTCTTTCTTGGTGAGTTTTGATGTTAGCTCCGAGAAATTTGGTACTCCCGAGGCTCCAAAAACACTGATAGATCAGTTTTACTCGTCTTTGATAAATTACCAAGGGAAGTTAGGTTTCATGTACTGGAAAAATGGCATGGAGATTTGGGTTATGGAAGATGATGGTAGGAAGAAACAAGAATGGTCCAAGATTATCTTTTACGACATGCGTGGATTTGAAAACGGACGCATATTTGCGGGTGTGGCTCATGGTGGTGGGATCGTTTTTGTCAATAACCTGTTCATCGATTCCGACACATTATTATCTGTCTCCTATTATGATCCAAACCGAAATAGTTTTAGATGCGTTGAAGTCGAAGGTACTAAGGCGAAGGATCTTGTTCGTATATGGGTTGTTCCGGATCATGTCGAGGATACAATGCGCTTGTAATTCCCTTCAAAAAGTTACACTTACTCTTATAATGAATTTAAGTTATTTCGTTCTTGTTAATTATGGCTTACTTGTGATGAACGCGATATAGGTCAGGTAATTAGGTTATTTATGTATATTTTATTTTCGTAATCACCAGTAACAAAAGTCTATAAGGATAGTATTTTTGCCAATTTTAGTTTTGATCGAAACAGAACAAAGTGAAGCGTGAAAAACAAAACAGAGGATATAACAGAGATATAGTATTCGGTTCAAATTATTCTGGCCTATGAGTACAGTTTATGATCTTCTCTTCATTTTTGGTGAAACTGTGGTTATTCCATTTGGTTCTGTTCATCTTATACAAATTTTGTTAAATCTTGATTATCAAAATAGAGGTTTTATAACTCTAATAGTTTAGATAACCTTATTAAACCTATAGAAGAAAGGATGTGTTCTGTTGTGGGATGATGTTAATGTTAAATTGATCTCTCATTGTTGGTCTTAGAGCGTTCAAAACCGTTAATCTGGAACTAAACCAAACTGAAATAGAGTAATTAATATACTAAAATATGGTTTTATTTCGAGTATCCTAAATAACCGTTTAGGTATATATTGTAGTTTTAAAGAACCTATCGGGTGTGATTCGGTTCATGTAATACCCAACTTGGTCCAAAGATTTTCCTTACCTTTGTAATTTTTTCCCTTTTTTTTTAAGAATAGAATACATCTTTTAACAGAAAAGGATAAAAGGTCCAAAGGTTTCGTTTCGAATATGTTTATATAGTCTTAAAACTTTCCTTCGTATAAAATTTCAACAAACGTGAAAATACACAACATGAAGAGACGAAGCAAAGAGAAAGAGTAAGCAAAAATCCTCACAACATGGCGTTGGTAGAGAAAAGTTGTCAGATGCATCTATATCCCTTCAGATCTTCTAACGGTCGATATACTCTCAAAACTCCCGGTGAAGTCACTTGTGAGGTTCCAATGTGTATCGAAGCTATGGTTATCTCTTAACACCGATTTGATCAAGACTAGGTCTTTAACTCAGCCGCGATTACTCGTCCTCTTCCACCATCGTCCGTGGCTTGAATCTCCACGTCTCTGCTCGTCTACTTATTCTCTAAACACTAACACAAGATTCATATCCGCAGACAAAGAGTGTCGTAATACATTCACTCCTGAGTTAGCTTTCGATTTTGTGTCTCGATATGTCCGTGGACTAATCTGTTGTTTGTCAAGATTGGATGAGTTCAGTACCATATACAACCCTACCACGAGACAATCCGTTGTATTACCCGGTATCAAATACGATACAAGGGGCTACTCCGTGGATGGATTCTTTGGGTATGATCCAGTTGAAGATCAATACAAAGTGTTGTGTTGTAATTTAGGGAGTTTTGGGAAGCGTTCTTGTCAAGTTTTCACATTGGGAAGTCCAAAGAAACGGCAAGGGAGAAACATTAATAGCCCGGAGAATTTCGGTCGAGATGACGATTACCGTGGACCAACGAGTAGTGTATGCATCAATGGGATTATCTATTACATAAGATATGGTTACGGAAACGTAATACTGACGTTTGACGTTAGATTCGAAAGATTTGGTCATATCCAGATGCCCATGAGTGAAAAAATTTTGAACTCGACATTGGTAAACTACCAAGGGAAATTAGGATGCATCAGTTACGAATACGGAAGCGTTAGTTCAGAGATGTGCATCTTGGAAGATCATATCGAGAAACAAGAATGGTCAAAGATTGGAATATTCATACCTCATCATCTATTAGAGTCTTTAGATTATAGTACTTGTATCGCTGACGCTACTCGTAATGGTGAGATTGTGATTATGCCCAAGACATATGGTCCTGAAACGTTATACGCATACTTCCATGATCCGAAGCAAAACAAGACTAGAAAAGTTGAATTAGAAAGCACCTTGAATGGGGCACTAAAATATCAACCGAGATATTCTATCTTTAGTGAGCCAGATCACATGGAGAATAATATGGACTTGTGCAGGATTCAAGTTCAGAAGAAGCCAGCGACGCGACTACCTTTTTTGAAGAAGCAACTATTGGTTATAGCGACAATGTTCAGAACAAAGCTTATGTCTTTGTTGGACTCGTTGCATTAGTATTTCTTTCTCCATCTCTCGTGTCTAGCGACAACGTTCAGAACAGAGCTTATGTCTTTGTTGGACTCGTTGCATTAGTATTTTTGTTTCCTTTCTCTTTCTTAAGGTTGATATATCTATACTATATATAAAAGTTGCGGCTATAAGTTTCTAAAGGCGTCCACTTAGGATTTAATTCAACCTATAGTAACGTGTCACGTCAAATATTTAGAATTAAATTAATTTTGTTTTTGCTGATAATAATTGAAAAATAAGACGTGATTTCCTTATTTCATAAACTCATAATTGAAAAATAATTTCTGTTTTTTGTGGATTTATTTTCCTATTTCAATTTTACATACTATAGATTAGGAAATTTTCTTAATTTAAAAATCTTAAATATTAAAAAACGTGATTATTTCAAATTTACGAAAATTTAGGAAAACTCAATTACTATCACATTCCAATTAATTATTATCCCAATAGAATAGGATATTATCTTCATTATCAATTAACTACAATAGAGATTAGGAAAAGTTCCCAATGATCCACAAAAAATAATATAATTACAATAGAGATTAGAAAAGTTTTTAAATTTTAAGCCACATCAAATATTCAAATTAGGAAAATTTCTCAGAGTAGTTAAGTAGGAAATAATTTATCAAACAAAAAAATCTATTACAATTAGTATTCAAAAAAGTATTAAAAAGGAAATATATACATTATGATAAATATGAAATATTTTTTTTTCTATTCGATTATTATATAAGATATAAAACATGAAAATCTATTACAATTAGTATTCAAAAAGTATTAAAAGAAAATATATGTATAATGATAAACATGAAATATTATTTTTTCTATGCGATTATTATAGAAGATATGTGTTGCCCTAATTTTTATATATATATAATACATATATTTCCTAATTTCAATGCAAAACTAATTTTACAGCTTTAATCTCTTTTAGGTTTCCTATCATGTTCTAATGTTTTTAACGATTTTTTTATTGGTGTTTATTTTTTTCCTTCATTCGTTTGTTCGTTGTTTTTGCTAATACACATAAGATATACTGTAGTTTTCTTCTCAATTTTAATCTTTTGTTCTGGGTTTTTATTTTTTTTTTCCAAAAGAGTCTTAACCATCAAATCAATCTATAGTGTTATGCCACATCCAATATTTCCTATAAGATTTAAATCAACCTATAGTGTTTCGCCACATCCAATATTTAAATTTAAGTTAATTTACCTTTTCGATTTTCATTGGAATTTTTCCATTTTTTAAAGTTATTTTTTTTTTTAATTACAAAAATACCACAAATATGTGGACATTTTGCAACAATGCCACATACGGAGAGACTTTTGCATTTATGCCGCTATTTTATCCAAAAACGAACAATTTTACCCTGACACTTTCCCCTTTTCTCTCTCTTTTTCATCTCTCTCCTCAAAATCAATTACGTTTAGCTCGCCGGAGGAGCAAGCCAAGGGAGATTCTCAATTTAAAGAGATGGCTCAGGGAACGGAGAAGGAAGAAACGGAGTTTAAAGTACTCGAATCCTTGACTCTCTGCTCCAATAATTGTGGGTTACGATCGCAGTTCTTCCTCCGTTGTAGCCTCCGATCGCCACTGTCAACGTCGCCGTAAACACCATAATATTATCAGATTTGATTCCTCATCGAAACGACATGTAGAAGATCCAGAATCCACCGAAGCCAAAATCTTAGCATCTGATCCGTGTTCACCGGAATCGTCGAAGATATGGGTGAAGTTAATAGTCTTGGAATGGCCGACCACCGCGGATTCGATCTTGAAATTGGCTTCGTAAGGCTATTTTGGATTTAGATTATGTGTCCAGTGTGATTCCAATTGTTTTTTTTTAATTGGAAAAAGTTTCGATCGTCTTCTTCAATCAATTTCATGGAATTGGAAATTTTGGATTTTGAGTGTGATATTAATCCAAAATTTTGTTTGATTGATTGATTAAGGAATTTGCCGGGGCATTAGTTTGGTAATCTTCAGAGCAAGATCTTTCCAGCTTATTTCACTTTGGTTGGTTCTTGTTGTGCAATTTCATTCTCTGCTTTTGAGTATTTGCATCCATGGAAGTCATCTTTTTCTACGGAGAAGTGACAGCTATGCTTTCAATCTCACCAATTTGCCCATGAACATCGAAGTAAGTGTTGTACGTACATTTCTCCAAATGTGTAGAACAATGCATACAAGATTCCTAAGAACCAATTGTCTTTACTTTGGTGTAGATGATGAAGCAAGGGCACAAAGTATAGAGAGAAAACAACAATGGAGATGAAGTTGGTTAGTCCAAGGACATAGAAAAGGCAAAGACTATCTCCAAGCTAGCTGCCATGAACAAGAAGTTTGGAATGATTCACGGGTTATCGTTGCTAGCTATGCATTCTTGGTATCTAGCAGGGAAGTTGAATCTCTAAGTTTCAGAGATTCTGGTGACAAAAGTCTGAGCTTTTATGCCCCCCTTAGTGAATAATGTCTCTTGCATTCTAGTGGCCAACCGCCTTTGTAAGATTATATCATCACGAGAAGACTCACAATGTATTTCACTGAAATCATGAAAGAATTTGCTACTATATATCGCTTTTTTCTCTTATATTTGAGATCATTCTTCTTTATGTGTGGTCGATTTGTTTGAAACAAGTGATAAAACTCTTAAGCTTTCTATAACGTTAATGCTACAATCTATTTATAAAGCTTTTTAATAGTTTTTAACAATCTTTTGTAAAGTTTTTAAACAGTTTATAAGTTTTTACACAGTTTTATAAATTTTTTTAACAGTTTTTAACAATCTTTTGTAATGTTTTTAAACAGTTTACAAAGCTTTTTTACATAATTTTATAAAAAAATTTAATAGTTTTTAACAATATTTTGTAACTTACCATAATAGGTTTTGTAAAATAAATTGGCTTTGTAAAATTTTTAAATAGTTTATAAGGTTTTACACAGTTTTATAAAGTTTTTTAACAGTTTTTAACAATTTTTTGTAAAGTTTTTAAACAGTTTATAAGTTTTTACACAGTTTTATAAAGTTTTTTAACAATCTTTTGTAATGATTTTAAACAGTTTATAAAGTTTTTTTTACACAGTTTTATAAAAAGTTTTTAATAGTTTTTAACAATCTTTTGTAACTTAGCCAGAATAGACTTTGTAAAATAAATTGGTTTTGTAAAGTTTTTAAATAGTTTATAAGTTCTTACACAGTTTTATAAAGCTTTTTAACAGTTTTTAACAATCTTTTGTAAAGTTTTTAAATAGTTTATTAGTCTTTACACAGTTTTATAAAACTTTTTAACAATATTTTGTAATGTTTTTAAACAATTTATAAAACTCGTTTACACAGTTTTATAAAAGTTTTTAATAGTTTTTAACAATCTTTTGTAACTTAACCAGAATAGGTTTTGTAAAATAAATTGGCTTTGTAAAGTTTTTAAACAATTTTTTTGTAACGTTTTTAAACAGTTTATAAAGCTTGTTTACACAGTTTTATAAAAAGTTTTTAATAGTTTTTAACAATCTTTTGTTACTTTACCATAATAGATTTTATAAAATAAATTGGTTTTGTAAAGTTTTTAAATAGTTTATAAGTTTTTACACAGTTTTATAAAAGTTTTTAATAGTTTTTAACAATCTTTTGTAACTTAACCAGAATAGGTTTTGTAAAATAAATTGGCTTTGTAAAGTTTTTAAACAATTTTTTTGTAACGTTTTTAAACAGTTTATAAAGCTTGTTTACACAGTTTTATAAAAAAATTTAATAGTTTTTAACAATCTTTTGTAACTTAATCGGAATAGGTTTTGTAAAATAAATTAGTTTTGTAAATTTTTTAAATAGTTTATAAGTTTTTACACAGTTTTATAAAACTTTTTGACAGTTTTTAACAATCTTTTGTAAACTTTTTAAATAGTTTATAAGTTTTTACACAATTTTATAAAGTTTTTTAACAGTTTTTAACAATCGTTTGTAACGTTCTTAATAGTTTATAACGTTTTTTACATAGTTTTTAATAGTTTTTAACAATTTTTTGTAATGTTTTAAAACAGACAATGATAAATCTTTTGTCAGGTTAAAGTTTCGACTTTCATTGGTTGGTAACCCTTAAGAGTACAGTGATAGACAAAGATAAACTTGATAAGCTATCAATTACAAGGTTTTTATAAGATATTATAAACAGCATTTCTCAATTTTTTCTGTCTCATTTTTGTGGTTGATTTATAGTTGGAATTTAATACTGTTATTTTGTTTTTGTAGTATGCTTTTTATACATCATAACTTAACTCCTTTATAAGCCAAAGTCAAGAATCAAATCAGAAGTGATAAAACAATAAAACAAACAAACAGTTTTTAACAATTTTTTTATAAACCAAAGTCAAGAATTACATCAAAGGAGAAACCAATGAAAGAAATATCTCAAAATTGAAACATTTGTTCCCTTTATAGTTCTCTGATCTTAATAAAGTTGAAACAATTTTTACAAAACCTAAATAATCCTCTCTCTCAAATTAACAATCAAACACAGTGACGTATAAAATAAGAGAGTTTTTTTCAGACACAGAGAATAAGTTACAAAGTTTTAGAGATTATTGCAAATTAGGGAAGGCTTCAGACATAGCCGTGGAGGTAATTGATCTTTTGCATCCCAATAAACTTTGATCGCTTTCTCAAGCACCTTCAATGTCTCCCGGTTATCACTAGCCCCGTAAACATTCAGAAATTCAAGTGAACACTCCAAAGGTAGTAAATTTTAGTACTAAAAACCAAAGTTCAGCTTGTAAAGTTGGTAAGAACTTTAAACAACAATGTAAACAAAAAGAGCATCATTGTGAGTAGTGAAGCAAAAACAAATACAGAGATAAAATTAATAATAAGAACCATCAGACACACTAATTTTTACTTGACATAATAAAACTAAGCAAAAACCACATCCTCATGTAGTGGTTGGACCTCAAAACCATACTCAGGCAATTGAAGGAAAATAAACTAGATTTTC